CAGGCCTAACACCTCTGGCTGAGGCGTCTGTCCCGGGCAGCGGGGACCCGCAGCTGCAGCGGCCCCACGATCGTGGGCTTCGCTTTAGGCCCAGGCAAGGGACCCCTAGCTCCTGGGACTGCCAGCTTCAACCGTGCCCAGCTCCCATCGCTGGCTCCACCCCTACTTCCTGCTATCACTGGCCAGGGTGGAAAAGGCACCTGATTCTCTGATTATGGCTGGGGGGCAGGGCAAAGGTGGCCCAGGGCCGCCTTTAGCTCTTAGCTCCCCTCTGGGTTTCCGATCACTGTCAGTGGCAGGGGGCTTCTTCCTGCTTTCCCTTTCGCCTCCCTGCATTGTGCCTACATATGCAAATTAACCGCCATCTTGTTGGCAGTTAACTGCCAATCTTAGTTGGCAGTTAATTTGCATATAGCCCTGATTAGCCAATGAAAAGGGTAGCATCGTACGCCAATTACCATTTTTCTTTTATTAGTGTAGATTAAAGGCTTACATACAGACTGTATGTCCACTTAACAGCTGCATCACCTTGGGCAAGTTACTTAACCTCCCTGGGCTCAGTTTTCTCATCTGTCAAATGAAAATTGACCATAATACCACTTCAAGGAATTTCTCAAAGGCTTAAATAAGATAAAACTTGTGAATAATAATTGTAACAGCTAACACTGGTTGATCCTCTACAAGGTGCCATACGCTCTATACACTAGAAGGCAAATACCATCGTGCTCCTTCCATTAAACCAAGGAGGAAATGCAGGCGAGACAGCTACGGTGATTTGCTCAATCACTTGAGAAAGAGGCAGGGCTGGGTCGGAGCTCAGGCCCGTCTTAGCCTGAGCCTATGCTTGTTTCTCTACGTCAGTCCACCCTTAGCTCACTAAATGCCAAGTGCTGTGACCACGCATGAATTCATAAGCTTCTCACAGCTCCTAACCCAAGTCTGACTTCTAAGCCCACGCTTTCTTGCCACACCATAGCATCAAGAGCAAGTACACTATGTTAGTTATCATTACAACTAGACAGGAGCTAGCTGAAAGCTGAGGCTGGGTCTTCCTCCTTTTTATATGTCACCTCTGGCCCTTGAGTACTATGTCTCATACATGACAGACGCTCTATAAATACCTCACGGCCTGTGCCTCTGCCCTGCTAACCCATTTTTTAAAATAGGACCTACTGGAGGGCAACTAATAAAGCACATCCAATTATTATCAGGATGACATCACTCCTCAGTCTGCACCTAAAGCTGTTCTTCTCTAGAAGCTGCTTCCAATTTTCACCTTGTTAAGAAGAAGGTACAGGGGAGTGATTCTCACGCCTAGAGGAGGAAATCAAGACTCATGTGACCGCACAATATTCTTTTTATGACACTCTTTATCGGCTGATAAACTCTTGCCCAACCTCGTGGCAGGTCAACGTTCCACGGTGTCAGGCATTGAGATGGGAACAGATCACACAGGATCCCAAGTTCAGCAGACAGAACAGCTGCACCTTTGGTCTCATATATCAGGGTGTGGTAGAGGGGGAGAGGGCCAGGAAGGTGCTGAATGCCCAGGGACTCCATACCTCTCCCCAAACCCAGCAATGCCGCCCCCTCCAAGTACCTCTGGATCCACTGGTCTTTGTAGGAGGCGCTGTAGGAAATGCCCGAAAAAAGCTCCGACTTGTTGAAACTCACATGAAACTGATCCCAAAATGGGCCAAAGGGGTTTCCTTCCTGCAGAAAGAGAGTGGTCAAAGGCTGACTGAGGGGGAAGGAAAGCCCACTGGGGATGGGGCCAAGGAACTGTGGCTGGGGAACTCTGGGCGATTTCACTCAAGCGGCAACACCCTCACAGGGTGGCCCATAGGAATGTCAGTTTGTAATTCCTGGCCTGGGGCCCGAGGAGGGCAGTTCCACCTTCAGTCTGGTTTCCAGCAGGAGAGGTTCACCAGTGTCTGAAGGAGTCTTTCCCGCTCACATGCCACATCTGTTGACCCTGTAGCATTGATGTGGATCTGGGGAGGAAGTGGACCGTGGATATGGGACCATGAATTAGAGCTTCAAGAGACTTTTAAGATCAGCTAATCCAATGCTGCTACTTTCAATATGGAAACTGGGGCCCAGACAGGATAAGACACTTGCCCAAACTCATATAGCAAGTGAGGGCAGTGTTAGGACTATAATCCATCTCCTTTCTCACATTTCCAGGCTCCGCTAACCACCCTCCCCAGACTTTAGGTTAAGCACTGAAAGGTATATTGAGGATTGTTTTATTCCCAAGGTGCCAGAAGTTTACAATTTGTACTGATAACATATAACAGCGTCTCATTGACCTGCTGAAGACAGGAAAGTATACAACTTAGGAGAGTGGGAAATGGAATCAAATTACCTAGGGTTGAATCGTGGCTCCACCACTTGTTTACCATGTGACCTTGGTCAAAATATTGAATCTCTCTGTAGCACTCAGTGTCCTCTCTATAAAATGGGGATGTTAACAGTACTTTCCTCATGGAGCACTTTGAAGATTAAGTGGGTTAATATGTGTGAAGCTCTTAGCATGGCACAGCATACAGTAAGTGCTACGTGAGCATTAGTTGTTACTACTGAGGGGGCACTTTACAGTTTACAAGCACTCTTACACCCTGGCTCCATGATACTGGATGAGTGAGACAGAGAAAGGACTGTCATCTTTGTTCTACAGGTAGAAATAAAGGCTCGGAGCTAGGAGGAAGCAAAGTCCGCTGTCCAAAGTGACACCACTGACATATGCCAGAAATGACTTAAATTTCCGTCTTTCTATCTTAGGCCCTTCTGGTGCCTTCCCCAACATAGAGCCATCACGCAGTGTCTCATGGGCCAAGAGAACACCGATCAGGCAGAAAGGGCCCCAGGTCCCCAGGACTCGCCTTCATTGGGCATGTCTTCTTATCAGGGCTTCTCTGGGCCGCCACTTCAAAGCAGTATGCAACCCGCTTCTCAGGGGGCCAATGGGTGGGGGCCAGCTTCTCCATGAAGTCCTCCAGGCTGATGACCCGATGGTAAGCCTTGAGGGGCGCCAGCTTGAAGTACTTCTCGAAGGGCACATGGATCTATAGAAAAAGGAGGTAACAGAAGGGCAGGGTCAAGATATCTGTAAAGAACAAAGAGCAATTTCCCTTGGGTTAGGAAATGCCTCCTGATCTCTAAGAAAAAAGAGAAATGATGCGAGAGAAAACATGGGCAGAGGACAGGAGTGAACAACTCACAGCAAAGAAAACCCAAATAGCCCATACACTCAAAAGATGCGCAACTTCACTAGTTAGTAATTAGGAAAAAGCAAATTACAATGGTAAGTAAGGCATCACTTCTCACCCATGAGATTAGAAAAAATGTAAGTGCTTAGCTCTAATTATTGGAAGAGATGTGAGGGAAGGGGCATTTTCCACCCTTGGCTGGAGTAGAAGTGTACATTTTGGAACAACCACTTTGGAATGTGATCCTGAAGCATCTAATAGAGTTTAAATTGCTCCTTCCACCACCTCGAGGTATTTGCCCTAAAGAAATTCTTGCACTTTGCACCAGGAGATGGTTACAAGGACTCTCAAATATAAGAACTTGGAAGAGTCACACCAAAGACACTAAAATCGAAGATAGTGGTTGCCTTAGGGGTGGAGGGAGGGATTGGGATTAGCCTCAGGAGCCAAGAGAGATTGTATCTTTTAACAACTGTATCTGTAGCAAAGATGAGAAACTTAAATGACCACTTCTAGTGGTGGATACACAGATGGTGATATTAATCTGTTTCTTTCTAGATTCGAAAGAATTTCTTAAAACACCAGGAATAAAATTTAGACTTTATCCTATACGTCAGGGTTCCCAAGCTAGTTTAGGTGGATAAAAGATTCTGCAATAGGAAGACACCAGAGTTAAAAATGCTTGGGAAATACTGTGTTAAGCTGGTTTCCTTACTATAGGGCTTCTCAGGGCCTTTAATATGCTAGTGTGCATTCTGAATCCCCAGTTTGGGGGAGATGGGAAATTGATAATAAAATTTCCCAAAGTGATTTAACCACTGCACACTTCTTGTATGAGACATTGGCATTCCAAAGAACAGATTTTGGGAACCTTAACTATTAGCAACAAGGTCTTGCTGGAGGATTTTAAGCAGAAATAATGAGATTTGCCTTTTTGAAAGATCACTCTGGTGGTGGAGGAGAGAACGTATCTATGGTAAGATTAGAGGGGGCAGATAAGAAGCTACTACAATGGTCCTTTTTTTTGTTCAAGTATTCATTCAACATATATTTCTGAGCATCACACATTAAGTCCAAGTGAAGATGTAGAGGCATGGAAATTCTAGAAGATGTAAAAGAAAGTGAAGTAGAGAGCAAAGGGAGGCATTTAGGATAACTTGTAGATTCCTGGCTTGGTATACAGATGAATGAAGGTGACATACATTAAGGCTTGGAATATAGGAGGTAACACAAGTTTAAGGGGAAAGATGCCAAGTTCTGGCTTTGAAAATTTGAGCTATTGGTGGAACATTCAAGTAGACTCAAAGGCCTAGGAATTAGAAACAGAGGCCGATGGTCAGAGGAGAGTCTGGGCCACAGATAAACTTGGGAGGTACGTGGAGAATAGTGAAAGCCAAAAGAGCCAACAGAAATTTATAGCAAAGAAAATAATAGCAATAATAGCAACTAATATTTATTGACTGCTGACTTAGCAGCAGGTGCTGTACTCATTACATTTCATGGACTTGCCAATCTAATTCTAAGAGGAGGAAAACAACCATCTCCAGGTCACTTATGAAGAAACCCAGCTGAACTCATCCGAGGTCACATAGTCAATAAGAAAACAGAAAGAGAAGACTCACCAATTTTTAAACAGTGGGCAGAGATAGAGCAGCCCCCGATACAGTGCGAAGAGAAAAATGCTGAGAGGTCAGGATTGAAGCAGGAACAGGCTGTGTCTTGCAAGCCAGGGGAGTAAGGAAGTTCAGGAAGGAGAGAGGCTCACAAGGCCAGGTGCCACCAGGAGGTCAGTTGAGATGAAGATGGGATTTGGAAATTCTGGGGTTCCGGGACTTCTGTGGGTCCCAGTAGGTAAGGGGAGCCAAACGGGGGCGGGGTAAGTAACCTGTAGAAAGCAAGAAGTGAAGACTCCGAAAGACTCAAGGTGAGAAAAAGAGGCGGATGAATGGGCAATGTCTAAATTATACCAGTGGGTGCAAAAAAAGTCAGAACGTCAGCGACCCCTGGTTACTGAGGACTTCTTGTGTTCTAAGCACTTTATATTGAGTTCAGTTGATTCTAAGAGAGAAACACACAACGTTCAGGGCATACACAATCGCTAACTCGAATAGGAGGTAGCAACCATTATTACCAGCTTATTTTAAAGATGAGGAAGCCAAGACATAAAGAGATCAAGTACCCTGCCCAGTCCACACAGCCAGTAAGTGGCCACGCCAGGTTATGATCTCAGGTACTCTGGCTTTTAACCTTTGCTAAAAAACCTTGCTAACTACAGGCCTGCAAAGGAAAAAATAAATCCTACGCAAAGACTATAAAAATGAAATACAATGTTTTATACATATTAAATATAATTTCTAAAATTTATTGAAAACTTGTAAAGTCAATTCATTAAGTATTAATTCAGTTACTACTGCCAGACCCTTGGGGATACAGTGTGAACAAAGACCGACACAGGACAAGTGGAAGACAAAGAATAAGCAAGGAATTAGAGGATGCTGAGCATCACTAAGCTCAGGGAGCCCCTGAGGGGATGGAAGGTGGTGTTGGGAGTCTGGGTTTGTGGCCTTGGACACGTTATTTAACTACCCTGTGCTTCAGTTTATCTTTCAAAACTGATAACAGCATCCATCATCTTTGACTAATGGGATGCACCAAGTGGGGGAACAACAAGGTCTGGAAATGAATGGGGCTTTAGGTTCAGGTCACAGGCTCTAGAATCAAATACCTGAGAATTCCAGCTCTACTGTTCACTTGTGTCACCTTGGGCAATTCACCTAATCTAAGTCAGTTTCCTCATAGGGATGTGATGAAGGAGAAAAGAGCTAATCTTCATGCAGTGCTCAGAACAGTACCCGGCAGACAGCAGGTGCAGGATAAATAGTAGTTATTTTATTCCAGGGAAGACAAATCTGGGTGGCGGTAGGGCAAGCACAGAGGGGTGGGAGGTGAAGCCCAGAGGACTTGGGGATCGAGCAGAGGTGAACGGGATTGGGAAAGGGTGGACAAGGGTCAAGGTTAGCGGGAGGTACTCACATTGGTAAATGGAGGCTTGTGATGTTGGTACTCAATCCAAGGGGGTACAGCTAGGGTGCGGTTCAATAGCTTTGCAAATGCCAGGGAGCCCAAGAAGTGATCAGCCTGGTTCCCGAAGCGCCCTGGATGGTATATTGTGAGAGGTGAGGCCTGGGGCAGAGGGCATGGGGAATGCAGGGCTCACAAAGGATGCAGAGCCAGGGTTAGGGAAGGCCAGGGGAGCTGGGAGTGTGAGATCAAGTCTAGATGCCTAACAGTCAAGGCCCTTCAGGCCCTGTCCCTTCTGCCTCAGCCACTCCAAGTTCCCTTGTTTCCCAAACATGCTCTACACTCTACACATCCTCAACCCAAGCCTCCGTTTTTTGCTGTTCCCTCCAAGAGTGCCTTTCCACCTCTATCTCTACTCACCTACGAAAGGAGGGGCAACTCCAGTGCCTCATTCACTGGGATCCTTTTAGCTGCCCCCTGCCATTTCTCAGCCCCCTCCTCTGCTTCCCATCTTGGATTTGAGTTACCAAATCTTCACTTATCCTAGAAGGTCCTTTCCCACTTTCCAACCTTTATTGTGGCTGTTTCCTCAGCCTGTGAACGCCTCGGGGCAAGGACCCTCTCTGATTTTTTTTTTTTTTGTTATCCCTAGCATGGCATCCATTCATTCATCTCACAAATATTGAGAAGCTACAATGTGCCAGGCTCTCTGCTAGGTGCTAGAATACAGGAGTGAGCAAGAAGGGCAAGGTCTCTCTGCCCTTAAGGTACTCACAGTCCAGGTAGGGAGACATGAGATGTGTAAATAAATATACAGTGATAAACTTTTATAATTTCAAGAAGGAATGGGAAAAAACTTGGTGATGAACAGCAAGGAGTAGATTATTTCGGCTGAGGTCAATGAAGTCCTTTCTGGTGACATTTACACTGTGATCTGAGGATGGAAACAAGTTGGTCTGGCCCTGACAGGTTTGGCTCAGTGGAGCCTGGCCTGAGGACTGAAAGGTCCCAGGTTCGATTCCGGTCAAGGGCATGTACCTCGGTTGCAGGCACATCCCCAGTAGGAGATGTGCAGGAGGCAGCTGATCGATGTTTCTCTCTCATCGATGTTTCTAACTCTCTATCCCTCTCCCTTCCTCCATGTAAAAAATCAGTAAAATATATTTTTTAAAAAAAAGTTGGTCTGGCAGAAGTGAAGAGGAAGGTGTCCCAGGTGTAGGCAACAGCACAGGCTGCAAGACCTGCCTATGTGTGAGGAATAGAGAGGGGGGAGTGTGCAGTCGGAGGATCTGGGAAAGGAAAAGGGTGTGATGAAGATGGGCAGAGGTCCAAATGATCATGGTGAGGGGTCTGGAGGATTAGGAAGGCATGACTTTTACCTTGATGGCGCACTGCCCCATTTAAACTGCACCCCTCAGCTGGTCATGAGATTCTTCCTTACCTTTCTCTACATTATTTTCCCTAAGTAATATGTAATTACTGATTTTTTAAAAATGTTTCTCTTTTATTGACTGTCTTTCCCAACTAAAATGGAAGCTCTACAAGGCCATGGGGTTGTCTGTCTTATCCCTGCCATATCCCTAGAGCAGAGCACAGGGCTGGGCACAGAGAGAGCGTCCGGTAAATATTTGTGGAATGAATGAAAGAATCGCCCAGAGTCCTTGCGGAGCCAGTGGCATCAAGTCCTGGCCCACGAACTCCGTTCACTGGACTCCAGGCGAGCTTAGACCTTGCGCAAGACATGCAACCTCTCCTGGCCTGTGCTCTCATCTGCTGCCAAATAGGGGGTTGGACCCGGAGGCCCCTCCGTGCCCCCGGCTGGGCGCTCTCCCGGACCGGTCCGGGGAGAGGCTTGGAGGCGCGGCTTCGCCTCTCGGGGCCTCAGTTTCCCCCGTGAGCAGAGGGCCCGGGCGGCCTTACCCATGCATGGGCAGTAGAGCAGGTAGCCGGCCGGGTCCCAGGAGCCCGCGAGGCAAATGTAATTCTTTTTAAATCTTACTAAGATATGTATGAGAATTTATTACAGAGAAGTGGTAGAGTTCAGAGCAAGATCACATTTCGTGATGCTGT